CGTTCGCCTCCTCCACCACTATATGCGACGAATACGCGAAGTCCACCAGCAGTTCCATCGCGTGCTCGTCGATGTCCCGTATCATCACTTCTGTTTGACGGCTTTCCGCCAATTCGCCCGTAAACATGGCTACAGACACACCGTTACCACTCATTACAATCATTGCTATTTGTTCTCAATTAATGTTACACTAATGGTTTTAAATACTATATTTGACTACAAACTAATATGACTGGTATTAAAATATTGTCATTATTATTACATCTAAAATGTGATTCATGGAAATTATGAATTACTATCCTGTTTACTACATGTAGTCTTACATGTGTATTGCATAATTCACCTTGTCTATTTCCTATTAAACTGTATAGCTATTATAATTCTACCATCAATTCATTTATGAAACTCAAAGAGTTAGCTTAACTTTACAATTATATTGAGTGATAAAATTATTATTCATTAGAGTTGGCCAACAGTAATGTTTTGATTTAATCTCATGTTTTATAGCGTGTCATGCATTTAATGTGATAATTGTGTTAATCTTTATTCAAATGTTTTAATAACTATTAATTTAAATGTCATTCAATATATTGTAATCAATAGACCATTATTTGGCATTAAAAAAAACAAGTCATCAAATGTTTGTGTCATTTATAATAAAAGTGATGTTAAATTCAATGTCCGTAAGCCGTGAGCCGTACGGAAGCGACTAAAGCGGCGACTCATTGACAACACATACCTAAGAAGTATGGACTGCAGGCCGAGAGGACGACCCGATGCGCGAGAATCTTACGGTTGGCCACAATGAGCACCACATCACACAACTCGCGGCGACGTCTCAACACATTCAGCGACTCTAAGATAAGTCGCGGATGTTTTTCAGACGTATACTCGAGACGCGCCGGAGACGGAGCCCTCTCCACATCACACTCCCGAAGAATGTCACCCATCGATGGCACCGCAGAGGTCACCACCACTCAGATCATACACTACGGCCACCGCAGCCCGTGATGATAGTGACCACCAGTTGGTGTCGGGGATTGCGGTGCAGTTGTGGTCCAATCCGCTCAACGATATACCCGTTCACCACATTCTTCTTCAGCGGATGTGCTCTCTAGTGATAATTAGCGTAAGTCTCGTATAAATACATATAAAATGTGAGTTTTAATTATACTGTTATATAAATCATACCTTTGTTTGTATGCAAGTAATGATTGATTGGATTTAATATTAATTTATTGTAATTAAAGTCAAAATGTTTTTTACATTCAATTGTTTTGTTTTGAAATTTAAATGTTTTTTCCAAACAATCATTCATTTGAAGCCATATTTTCGAGCGAAACACAAATTACGGCCAAATAATGTGCGCTAATCGATGGGTAAAGTGTGCCCCCAATTGCCCCCTCTTTTATAAATTAATACATTATTGTTATAACAAACTGAATAATAAGTTATTAATTGTTATTTAATATTTGTACGTACAATGTATGTTGTAATTGGAGCTTGATGCTTTCGCAACAACGTGCTCAACCTATAATACACGGCTAGAGTTGCAAAGTTGTAAAGTATCACACATTACGAGAACGGGAATTATTATGATATCCAATCATTTATTTTGATTAACATTAATATATTTAAATGTCAAACATTTAGGAATTTTATAAAATTGATTGAGTAGTTTCAATCATTTCTAAATTAGACAGATAAGTTTTAACTTAAAACTTTTAAGATAAATGATGGCGATTATAGGGATGGGACGGGACAGGTGTATGTTATTTCACATTTTAGACACTAGTCTACTGTTTCCCACACTATTAGTGACTCAAAGTTGTGTTCAATTGAATTGTCTAATAATGAACTCAATTAACGTTAATATGAATCCAATTGTGTAAGTATTGGTCAATGAGATCACTTCACATCTGATCCAAAGGGTCTTCTATACAAACAGATCATTGCCGCGATTGAAGAGCGCCTATTGGTTCCGAAGGCGGCGTCAAATCGATTACTTCCGGACCAATTACGAGGCGATGTTGGATCTGATGCCCCGACGGGTGTTTCGCAATGA